AGGGGAGGACGTTCGCCGGGCAAGACTGGGGGGTGAGGGCTGGGAGGGGCGGGGGCCGGAGAGCCCGCAGCACAGAAGCTGGGGAGCCTGTGGAGGGAGGACAGAACCATAGGAGGCAGAAGAGAGAGGAGTATTCAGGGCACGGGGGAGTCAGCCCAGGGAGGACAGCAGGGTGGGGGAATCCTGGGACCCTCCTAGTATTTGGGCCCCTGTGGAGAGGTCAGATTGCACATGGCAGGCCCAAGGTCACACACTTCTCAGAGACCCAGAGACCCAGAGACCAAGACGGGGTGGCTCAGTGCTGGGCCTCAGGAGAGTAGACAGAGGAATGGGAAGGCAGGGTCCAGGTCAGGGACCCCCGAGTGCACTTGCTTTCCTGAGCACGTGTTCGGTGCTAGCCCCTTCCACCACTTGCTTCTCGTTTAATCCTGTTGCCAACCTGGCAGCACCCCTCCCGCCCCCCGTTTTTTGTTTTTTTTTTTTTTTTACACAAAGTCAATTGGCTAGATAGTAGCAGAGACAGGACCCAAAGCCACATCTGTCTGGCTCTTGGCCACCACTCCTTTTCAGGGGTGATGGGACCCTGTGCCCATCTTCAGGACACATGCATAAACAGAGCACCTGTTTCGGAGCCCACCACAGCCTAGAGGTGGTGGTGCAGTGTCATTCAAGGAGTGGAACGGGGCCTGTGTGCCAGGTGTCAGGGACCGCTGAGTGCTGCACACCCTGACAGCCCCTCCCCTGGCCCCACTCTCCATCCCCTACTCTGCTCCCTTTCCTCGTAGGGGCTCTTTCAGGCCATGAGCCTGGGATTGGTGGTGTCCTGCCTTCAGGGACCTGACCTGCACTTGAGTTGTGCCCTGTGCCCCAGCCTTCTGCCTCAGGTTGTATGGTGGCTGCGTTGGGAAGGGTGGATTGCACTTTGCTCTGGCCTCTGGCTCTGTCTTGAGTTCTCTGCCTCCGGCAGAAGCAAAAAGGTGGGCTCTCTTAGAGCTGGGCCTGAGCCACCCTCTGCAGGGCTCCCAGAGAGCAGCTGCCGGGCTCTGGCAGGGAACAGACTTGTTTCCATGGGACTGGGCGCCTGGCTCCGCGTCCGTCTGTGAGCGACTCGGGGGCAGCGCCTTGTTTCTTGTGCACAGGTGTCTCGGGCCTTCCGGTTTGCCACACCCCTCCACACCCCCCCCCCCGACCAAAACAAAAACAGAAATGAGTGGAACTGTGTCAGTCCGCACCTGGGAGTCGTCCCAGATGCACAGCCACATCCGCCTTGTCAGCAAATCCTGTCGGCTCACTGCTGAAGGTACAGGCCCCCACCTCTTGTCACTCACCCACTCCTGTCACCACCTGGGCCGGGGGCCCACTCACCCACGGTTCCTGTGGTGGCCTGATCTGCCCCCCCTGCTCCCACCGTGCTGCCCTCAGGCCACTCTCCACACAGCAGCTGGGGACCACAGCCCCCCTGCCCCGTGGCTGCCCCCAGGTCACCCTGGCCACGAGGCCTGGGAGATCTGACCTCAGGCCCACATTCCTGCTGCTCACGGGCCCAGCCCTCCGCCTGAAAGTTCTTGTGCGGACGCCTGGGACTCCCTTCCTCTCCTTGGGTTCTGGCTTACCTTCCAGACCTCCTGATCCGCAAACCCGCTTCCCAGACCTCTCTCCTTTCCCGCTTCCGTGTCGCAGTCGCGCCTTGACACTCTCCATGTATTCCCTCCCCTCTCCCTGCCCCGAGAATGCACGGAAGGCAAGGGTTTTGTCTGTTTCGTCCCCTGAACGGGGCCTGTCACAGCACAGACCCCTTGGTACAGCACGACTGCGTGGGTGAACAAAGGTTCCCGAGTTTTCCTGCCATGTTAGATCTGGAGGAGCTCTTTTAATGATTCTTCTGCTTTTAATTAAAGAATAAAAAGATTTTAGACACTGAAATATTCTAGGGAGAGGGAATGGCAGATGGACAGGAAGGCAGGAGTCATACTCCTCTGTTTAGGAGAACCTGAAGGCATTCTGAATCCCGTCTGAGGTGCTCCTGTGTGAGGTCACACCTCGAGCACAGACCAGCACATGCACACATCCTTCTCCGTTCTTGTTCCAGAGCCCCCCCGTGACCCACACCGCATCCCCCGTGTCCCACTTTGCTGTCTTAGCACAGGTCTCTGACACAGGTTGTTTTTTGTTTTTAATTCTCGAAATAAAAGCAATGTGAATATAGAAGAATGTTTTAAAACCATTCAGAATGATATAGGTCTACTCCCCTGAACCCTAATTCCTTTCATCAGAGGCAGCCCTTATTAATAGGTATCCTTCTAGGGAAAAAACACCAATATAAATATTTATCCTTTAAAAAAGGGACACGAACACCATCATGGGAGGCATATTAATTCTGCAATTTGTTAATATAATTTGGAAACCTTTCCACGAGTCCATGCAGATGACCTTGTTTCCAGTGACAGCCTAATGTTGCATCATACCGTGATGGGGATCCCCAGCCCCACACTGACAGACATTGGTTTCTTTCTGGGTTTTGTTAGGACAGTATTACCATGCCGAGCCCTGGGCATCTTGGCGCGTGTTGCAATAATGCATGTAGAACACACACCTGGCGGTGCCTTGAAGGGGGGCCTGGGCACTGAAAATTTTGGTTGATATTGCCAGATGGACGTCCGAATGGCTGTACTCATGCATGCTGTTTACAGGATGTTTTCCTCCCAACTTTTTATTTCAAAAAAAATGTTAAACCTACAGAAAAGTCTAACTAGTCATTTAATGAATACTCAAATATCCTTCATCTAGGTTCCCCGATGATTATATTGCCCCATGTGTTAGTGTGCTGGGGCTGCCATAAAGTACCACAAACTGGGTGGCTTGAACACCAGAACTTTCTTTTCTCACAGGCTGGAGGCTGGAAGTTCCAGGTCAAGGTGTGGGCAGGGTTGGATTCTTCCAGGTCCTTTCTCCCTCAGCTTGCAGATGACACCTTCTCACCTGGTCCTCACATGGCCTCCCCTCCATCTGTGTGGGTTCTAATCTCTTATAGGGACACCAGTCGTGCTGAATTAGAATCCACTCATATGACCTCATTTTGCCTTAATTACCTCCTTAAAGACTTGGTCTCCAAACTACAGCCACATTCTGAGGTCCTGAGGGTTAGGACCATAACACCACATTTGCTTCTCTTTCTGTGTTATAGATCGTATCAATATAAATAATAGGTGTATCATATAATAGCTGATATTGTATTTATTACTTCTAATGTATTATACCATTTATCATATAGTTACTTTATATAATTATAATATATATTATGTAGTTTTTTTCCCTAAACCGGTTGCAGGTGAATTGCAGCCATTCTGGTACTTCAGCATGTGTCTCCTCGGAAGAGGACATTCTCCTCAGGTTCTGTTTATTTTATACTGACAGGGACAGATTCCCCTGAGGCAGAAGCACCAATGCGTGTGACGGGGCTCTGGTGCTAACTGGGGGCTTTCCCTCCAGATGGTTTTGTCCTGGCCCAGTTTCCTCTGCGTCTCCTTTCCAAGTGCCCCATGAGACATGCATACTTGTGGAGAGGAGGCCCCCTGCCTTTGAGAACCATTTGGGCGAGCAGAACCTCTTGGCCCTGCCTCCGGATCCTTTGACGCTGTTGATATTTTGGATCTGTGATATATCAACTGAATGACAGACCTCCTTACAGTTCCTCCTGCTTTTTGGTCAATTGAAATGTTTCTGAACACAAGACCTGTTTTGTTTCTGTGTACAGACAGCTCTCGCTTTGCAAACTGCAGACGGCTTGTTTGCATTTAGAGAAGCAGGGTCCATCGATTTGGGCACCAAGGTCTGCCTCCCCGTCTCCTCCTCCTCCTCGGCACCCTCACTGGCAGCTCGGGGCTCTGCCAGAAGTCGGTTCTCGCCTCCTGCCTATAGGAACGAGGCATCCTCTGTGGGCTTGCATTGGTGCGTCTCTTCCTTGGTACTTTTGTGAGGGGCAGCAGCTCTTTCAGGGCTGGTTTTCGTGGGTAGACTTACGGAGACAGTCTGCGTGGGGTTGCGTCTGCAGACCCAAGGTGAGGGTGTCAATCTGGGCAGTCCTCTGCCATCTGAGGTCAGCCTGTGGCTGAAGGAGCACCCCACCCCCACTGGCTGTTCTATAGCGGGGTGCCCCCCCCCGCCTGGTGCTGGGGCTCAGCCAGCGTTTTCTCCAGCCCCAGAAACCCACCATCTACACGATTCAGAGCCATTTGTCTAAAACACAGTTCTGACCATGTCTTTGACTCTGCCTAGCACTCTGTTCCGGCTTTCCCTTCCCTACGGGGTTCATTCCAGACTCCTTAGCCTGGCATTCAAGACCCTCCGTCACGTGGCTCCTGCTCAGTTTGTCTGCCATGTTATGTCCCTTCCCTGTGAGCTTGTAATGTGTGCTCTGTCCGCCCCCCCCCCCCCCCCCCCGTGCATCCTCTCCTGACCAGCGTCCTTCCAAGCAGCCGGGGGTGGTCCTCCTTCCCGTGTGCCCTCACTCCGCCTCAGACATAGCTATCCTCTGGCACTTGCCTCACTAGATGGTTACGGGCTTGATCTCCTGCTGGACACCTGCCTTTGCCTTTGTCTCCTCAGTGCTGAGCTTGGAGTGGGTGCCGAGTCACTGGGTGGGGTGGGTAGGGGGCTGAATGGACATGTCATTGGGTGTGGAGCATATCCTGAAGCTGGAAGTAGCTGCGTTCCACTTTGTGGTCTCCAGGCCCTCTCTGAGAGAACCTTGTCACAAAGGAGAAGAAAATAGTTTTCCACACACTGTGAGGTGTCGTTCTTCCTAAGTGTCCAGTTCTGAAGAGGCTGTACTGGTGACCAGCAGCTCAGGGCCTCTGTGACCTTAGTGTATGTTGTCACATGTTAAAAGAGCAAGGACCTTAACGCAGAGTGTCAACCCCAAGTGTGCTGATAACCTCCTTGTATGCATTTTGCTTTATTGTCACTGTGGCAAGCCGCTGAACGTGTGTGTTTTCTTCCAGTCAAGCGCTTCAGAGAACCAAAGCACGAGAGACGGCCGTGGAGGATATGGTGCGTATGTATATATTAACACCTTCCTAGAATGCTGTTGATTCTTTGGGGTTTGCGGGGTGGGGGGCCAATGGGAGCAATTCTGCATCACATAAAGTGTTGGAATCCCTTAGTTGAATTAATCATCAGGAACTACATCTAATGCGAAAGACTTCTAGAAGTTCCTCTAGATAATGTTGAGCTGTGCCTTTATTCTTTATTCTCTTTAATTATGTCTCCTTGTTATTAGGTTGTGAGAAATCCTTGGGTTCTGTAGTCTGTATGTGTAAGCAAAACATTCTCTAAATCTGGAGATGAGTCAGATACATCATTTAAATGCTCCTCTCCCCGAAACTCATCTTCCCTGGTCCTAGGATGACCCCATGGTGGCAGTTTGTCCTTCGTAAAAGGGTGGTGGAACTTTAGACATCGCCTTCAAAGACAGAATTCCGGAAAAAAGGAGACAGCCAGCTCTTCAGGACAATATGTCCACAAGACGTGAACTCTCTTGGGTTGCCTTAGGCTTGCAGCTGTGCTAATAAAACAGCCATTTTCCCCCGCAGAGAAGACTTCAGATAAATCAGTGTGTTAAAGGCCCTTTACAGCATTTTGAGCATATGCTTGATTGATCTTCAGTGCATTATTTGTGAATGTTGATCAGTCTTATTTTTATTTTCCCCAATCAGTTTCTCTCAAATCTGGGTGTCTGGCTTGGGCCGGGGGACCTGGGGAGGGTCTGGAATTGGGGCACTCTGTGGGACACACATTGCCCTTTGGGGACTTCTACTTTGCCATTATTTTAGGAAATAATTTTCAAGCTTCGGTCATAGGGTTGGTCTGGATAATCTCTAAGGTCTATTCAGTCCTGTGACTGTGTGCCCCTTCATGACCCCCTTCAGTGGCCCCGCCCAACCCTGGATGCCCAGCCTGGGAGGCCAAGAGAGACGGTCCCAAACCAGAGGTTCCTCAGCCACAGACTACCAGCGGTCTCCAGGTGTTCGTGGCAGATGAGAAACTAAAGGCCCCCTCCAGGCAGGGCAGCAGAGTGTCCCCAGAACTAGCACCCTTGTTTCTTTTTTGAAACTCCTGCCATCTAGCCCAAGAGTTGGCAGACTACAGCCCACAGGCACAGTGTGGCCCACTGTCCATTTTCATAACTGAAGTGTTACAGGAATGGCGGGCTCTGTGGCCACTTTCACACGCAGTGGCAGGATGATGGGTTGCTGCGAGCCGAAGATATTTACCCTCTGACCCTTTACAGAAGAAGTTTGCCCGGCCCAATGTAGCATAGTGCTTAAATTGCAACAGCCGGAAGTCTCTGGGGCTTCAGCCGCGGGGCTGGATCTGTGCGTCTTGTTAGTCTTGCACAGACAGCCTTTAGCTCGGAGGGGCGTCCAGTGGGAGCTCTTTAAAATAGAGGCGCCTTCAACTTCATCAAAAGCTGTGGTCCAGCATTTCATTTTGAAATGACAAAAAGTAAAAAAGTAAACACACCTAATTTAAATGTGTGTTTAGTGTGTTTAAATATGTGTTCTAAATCAGAGGCCTCTTAGGGAGCTCAGATGCAGTGTTGTTGAAGGTTTTGAAAGGTCGCTGAGGCGCCAAGCCTGAGTTAGTACTGACGCCCCAGAAAGAGGCAACTAGTAAAGGGAAGGTTGAGAGCTCCCGGTGGCTTTCTTCCTGTTTCAGACTTCTCATTTTCCCTAAATTGGATATAACCCTCCTGTAAGGATGGTAACAAGTGCTGATCCTATTTCGTACAGGTTTTTAGACACTTCCAAACAAGCCATAGGAATGCTGTTCATCCACTTTGCAAATGTGTACCTAGCAGATCTCACTGAAGAGGACCCTTGTTCACTGTAAGTGGCCCATGTTCGAGGACAAACATCACCCGCCCCTCCGCCGAAAATGGCCTTGCTTTCTGCCACCAGTCCTGTTCCCTCTAGCTTGGGGAGGGGGCAACCCCCACTTCGTGCTCTGTGCTCCCCTGAGAGCCCATCCTCTCTCTGCTGCCTGTGGGTTCACATCCACTGCTGTCAGCTGGCCCTTAGGGCTTTGCCTGCTGACAGTTGCCCTGTGCGCTGGCTCTCTGCTCATCCAAGCTCTGGCCCTTGGTGTTCCAGTAGCTTTATGTCTTCCGGCAGGGGGTGGCCCCTGGCGGGGCAGCATAGTGCCCTGAAGGAATATCTCTGCTAGAACAGGACACACGGGGGGCTTCTCTGGGGTGCCAGACGCTCGGGGTCAAAGCCATTGTTGACCAGCATTGACCTGTTTGACCTGAAGACCATGGGTGGTTCCGGCTTATCACTGCAGTGTGCCTTCCACACAGCCCCCCACCCTGTGCAATCTGACCAAAACCCTAGATGGAGTGGAAAAGGAGGCTCACCTGCCCTATCCCAGCTCCGTCTCCTACTTTCCTGGCTCAGACTTGTTGCTCCAGTCATGCTGTGCTGGAGGCCTTCAACCCCACCAGCTGTCTCCTGCTTCTGTGCCTTTGCTCACGCTGCCCTCTGCCTGGAACACCGTCACTGCTGTCCTGCCCTGCCTTTGAGAAGCAGCGCGGGGGCTGGTGAGTCCCTTGCCAAGAGGCTTCGTGTATATTTGAGATCATTTGGACTGGAAGATTCTTTTAAGCCTCCTTTTTTGGTGACTGTGCACATTTAGTCCAGGCCCAGATTTCAGGAGGAAGTTATGAAGTCTCCCTGCCCAGAGTCTTTCTCTAAGGCCTGGAAAGGTTATGATCTGTTTGGGTGTTTGGGTGTAGTCCCAAAGTGGGGGACTGGAAGGAAAGGTGATCCCCCTGTAGGGGAGATAGTTGGGAGATGGTTGTCTTTCCAACTCTTGAGCCCCCAGCAGGCTGGAGTCATCCCCTGGTGAATCGTCTTGATGTCGTTGACTGGGATAGACTAAGAGGCAGGCTGGCGCCGGACGCACTAACCTCACTCCTGGTGCGGCCTCGGCCGTGTGGCTCTCCCCTGCAGCACCTCCGTTGCCCGGCTGCCAAAAGAAGACAATACAGCTTTAAGAAGGACATTGGCAAACTGAATCACAGCGAGGATGGAGAAGGGGCTGTTGACAGATCTCGAGTGCTCAGCCTAGAGGAGAAGGGGCCCAAGGTGGAGCTTGGTATGGTGAAGGCACTTGACTGAGAGGCCAGACTGAGCCCCACTTTGCTCCCCTGTCCTGTGTGTCTGCCAGATGCCCAGGATTCCTGTGAAGGCTTCAGGAGTCGTTGAGTATAAGCACCACTGGGAACCATAGGGTCACGTCTCCGTGAGGGAGTTAACAGTTCAGCTGTAGGATGGTGTTGTTAAAAGTTAGGAAAGGTGTGAGAGCCCCAGCAGTGGGTAGGAGAGCAGGCGGTGCTTGGGGAGTGGAGGGCGCCCGGGCCCTGCCATCTCTTCCAGGTCCTGCGTCCTGGCTTTGCCCTGTGACTTCTTACAGGTGGGGGACGGGCTGGGCTGGGCTGGCCTGGAGGCATCTTGGGAATCTGCAGACCGGAAGGGAAGCCAGCTTCAGCTCTGGGAGAGGAGAAACTTAGGGGAAGAGCTGCCCCCTGTGGCTGCAGGGGTCCCCTGGGCTGGGGGCTGTGCTCCTTGCTCCGTCCTGACAGCTTTGGGAGGGAGGTAAGCTTCTGTGACATCCAGGGTTCTGTGACTCTGAGGGGCCATGATTCAAACCACACATTTGTATAGTGCCTACTGCCTACTACGTGCAGGCATGGTTCACACGTACTGACTCATTTGATCCTGATAACAGCCCTATAGTTTAGTCCTATAATTTGGTTATCCTCATTTTACAGCTTGGGGAACCGAGGCACAGAGAGAGGAGGGAACTTAAATTCACATGGCTTCATGGTGATGGAGCTGGGATCCGAAGCCGGCCAGTCCACCGGCCTTATCTGTGTTGGGTAGAGCGTAGAGAGCTTTCCGTCTTTAGTCCCAGGGCCTGGCGCACAGTCGGCATAAATATTTGGTGAGGGGATGAATGAACTGACGTGTCTCTATCAGGTGTTCTTGTGGCTTTCAGGGCGAGCCTCAGCTGTGAGAACCACTTGAAACCAATTAGATGTACGTGTCTGAGAGCAGCTTAGGCGAGGGTCAGCTGAGAACTTGGAGACATTGCCTTGGACGGCTGCTCTGCCTTGGTCTCTGGTCTGAGAGTGACCCCTTGTGATGTTAGGGAGGAAGGGCAGGCGGGAGACACCGCTGTCCGCCCTTCTGGTTTCCTGGCCCTGCCAGGGTACCATGGGGCCGTGAGCACTGCCGAGCAGGCGTGCTTCCTCCCGTGTCAGTGTGTGCCTGGCACCAGAGCCTCGGTCTTTAGGTGGGGGCTGCGAGTCTGCATGAAATGTCTTCGGCCTCGGCAGCTGGAAAGCACCGCAGTTGGTCTGTGGCATCTGAAAGTACTTTGAGGGCTTTCTGAGCCACTTGGCGTCCCTGGGGGCCGGTACCTGACCCATTATTGACTGTCTGTCTCCTACTTGGTCTGGAGCACTGGCGCGTGTGGCCAGGGTGTCCGGCAAGATCCAGGGACAGGGCCCTCGAGGGAGGGCCTCTCCTTGGTGAGGGAGGAGGTGTGTGTCAGACACATGGAAACAGACCTGATGAGAACACAGGATTGAGGTGGGAGAGCTCCGCTTACCCCTCTTTTCTGTCATCCTGCCTTTTCCATGGGAGTAAAGATCTCTCTAGAAGTATGCTTGCCTCCATGGCAGGCTCTGAAGCACAGGGATGAGCGAGGCCCCATGGCCCTGCCGTCTTTGGTCTAAAGAAACCCTAGAAGCCATGTCCTGAACTGCCCTGGAACAGTAGCACTGGCTTGGGGCTGAGGGTGTGAACAGCGTCATGGAGCAGATTTCTTTTAATGAATTCAGTTCTGTTTCCCTCTTGACTTCCTTGCTGCTTCCAGGCACTGTGTCTTATGTCAGGTTTTCATTTGATGGGAGCATTTGAAGTCTTGCAAGTTTCTTTGTCCCTTGTCCACTCCTCCCTCAAGTTCTTTGACCCAATGAGTGTCAGCATGCTGTCATGGGTCCTGGGAGTGAGTCCCGCAGGGCCGGGCTCAGGGGCCCTTGCTGCCCGGGTGGTGCTTCCTGACGGCGCTGCTGTGTGCTGCCCTCCCAGGTACCTCATCAACTTCCTCCTGGATGCCACCGTGGGCATGCTGCTCATCTACGTGGGGGTGCGTGCTGTCAGCGTCTTGGTGGAGTGGCAGCAGTGGGAGTCCCTGCGATTTGGCGAATATGGTAATGTAGCACGGACATTGGATGGGGGTGTGGAGGGGGCTTTTGGGGGGGCACCCTGCTCCTTGCTCCGGTCAGCTCTCCAGGCCAGTGGATTTGAAGGTTCAGGAGCTGGTTTCTGTCTCCTCTGTGTGGTGGTGGGGCTGGTCCTGGGGCCTGAACGCCATCCCCCTGCTGGTGTCAGAGTGGCACACATCTGAGGTGTGGAGGTGTGCACACCACTGCCACCTGATGGCAGGAGCCGAGAGACCTTAGACACAAGGAGGTCCACCAGAGGGCACCGGCGGCCCCACCTGTAGGCTGTAAGGCTGTCTCACTCTGCCAAGCTTCTCACTGAGCTCACACGACCTGCCCCCCTCGTTAGAGAACTGGGGACAGCTCTCAGTTTGGGAGGCGGTCAGTAGGGAGGTGGCCCTCTTCTGCGTGTCTGTGCTTGTCCTGTCATCGTGCCATCTCGCTACAGGGGCTGTCCATCCCCCACCCCGGGGCCAAGTCGCCTTACTGTCTCCTGACTGGAGGCTGGCTCCCCACCAGCATCGGGCGTGTGCAGTCACCAGGAACCATCCTCACTCGCCTTAAAACAGGTGACCTGTGGCTGCTGGCTCATCTTTGACCCCCTCCCCTCTCCTCGGACCCCCAGGACAAGGGCCTGGTTAGGAAGCTGCCCTCACACTCCGTGAGCACAAACGCACCGGCCCTTCACTTTGTACGCCCAGGGAAGCAGCTGGCTGTGGCCTGCCCAGGGCTGCAGGGAGGGCGCCTTCCTCAGGCCTTGCCACACCAGGGTTGAGGGGCAACAGCAGGTCTCCCCCCACTTCATGCCTGGCCCCTGCTGTCTGGGAGCAGGAGCTCCTGGTCTCAGTGAGAACAGCACCAGCAGGGCCGCAGCTACCTAGGGTCACACAGACAGGAGGGAAGAAATTCTGGATCTCCACTCTGCTTTCCACAGAGTTCAGGGCTCTGGGCCTCGGGGCCGCTCCCTCCTCAGTGACTGAAGACTCACAAGGCACTAACATGTGGAAGGGGAGCTGATCCGTGGAGCCGGCTCTGTGAGCGCCTGGGTAGTTCAGAAACCTTAAGCAGTTGTTTGTCTCCGTTGAGGGGAGATGAACTCAGGGGAGGGCTTTTCTTAGCCCCGTTACTTGATGCCTGATGAGTCACGGACTTTAGATAGCGTCTGACACACGGTGTACGCTCCCGTGGCTTTAGGGAAGGCTTCTGAGAAGCCCCGAGTCGTGACCCCGCCGCTTGGCGGACACACATGGACCACATTTATAGGCTAGGTACCCAGAGGGGTTGAGTGACGCCGGAAGCCCGCGCTCAGCTGGGGGCGGGCGTGGCCTCTTCCGCTACCTCCAAGGGCCACGTGTCTCACTGCTTGCCCTTGAGATCCGTCCTGGAAGGCAGCGCCCTCGGCTCGGCTGTAGTGACCGGCGCTGCGGGACAGCCACCCACAGCCAGTCGCGTGCCACTCAGTAACCCCCCCCGCTTCCCACCCTCGTCTTCCCAGAGTCTTCAAACCAGGGTGTCTCCAGAGGAGCATCCTGAGTCCTCCCTGCCCGGGCTGAGGGAGGATGGCGCACATCCTCTCTTACTGATTTCTGTTTCTATCTGTGTTCTTGTGTCCTGTCGCTGCTATAACAAATTTCCACAAAATTGGTGGCTTCAGACGACAGGTTTCTTACCTTATAGCTGTGTAGTTCAGACGTCCCACATGGGTCTCACTGGCTATAGTCAAGGTGTCGGCAGGAGTGGTTCCTTCTGGAGCCTCTGTGGGGGCACCCATGTCCTTGCCGTTTCCCGCTCCTACAGGCTGACTGCCCTCCCTGCTTGTGGCCCCTCTCTCCCCTGAGGGGCCGGCAGCTGGTCAGGCTCCTCTCACATGGTATCATGCTGACCTTCTAGCACCTCCTCCGGTGCCCTTGCGAGTACACTGGGCCCACGTGGATACCGCAGGATACTCTCCCTAGCTTAGAGGCGGCTGGTTGGCAGCCGTACTTCCCCTGGGCCACGTTACCTAACATATTCACAGGTTCCTGGGTCTAGGATGTGGATGTCTCTGGGGCCATTATTCCACCTACCACCCCTGTTAAGTGGCCCATCTTCTTGAGGCAGTATTTCTATGTAGGCCCCAGAGCTCTCTTCTCAGCTAAGTGAAGGAGAGGGTCTTGTTTTCTAGGTGCTTCCTTTGTCCTTAGAGGAGAGGGTAGACTTGCCAACAAGCACATGGGACTTGGGGAATAAGCCACACAGCCCTGCGGGGCGAGACAAGATCTAGGTGATAACTGTGCTTGTGGTTTGATGGCCAGGCAGCTTTTCCCCCAGGGGAAGCCCTGAAAGCAGGTCTGTGTTCCGTGGGCGCCAGTGGTCTGTGGGCTTTGCGGCCTGCGCCCTCCTAATGCTCCTTTCCTGAAGCCTTGGGAGACGGACGTGCTCCGTCCGTTTGTCCCCTATCCCTGCGATTTCTCCTGAGGAAGTTATTCCACAAACACAAAACACCCATCTGCCTGAGGTTGTCCAGTGTGGTAAGAAGCAGGACACGTCGAGAATGCCTGGCGTGTGTGTCCGTGAACAGTGAGACAGTGGGGAACGGCTGAGAGGCTCTCCAAGGAAACAGATCTGAAAGCGGACTAGCACCCACGCTCATTCCAGCTGGGGCTGCCGGTGGTCCAGATGTAGAGGAGGAAGGGAGGGTGGGAACGTGTTTACAGGGGACTTCTCTTCTTGTTTCACCATGTTTTTTAACTGTCTTATTAAAGCATATAAATGAAAGAAGATGCGGCCATGGCCAAGCTGTGGCGCTGACACTCAGCAGTGTGGGGGCAGTTCAGCGTCTGGGGGTGGGGGAGGGGAGGAAAGCCTGTCCGCCTCCGTCGGTCACTGCAAAGCTTACAGGCAGGCGGAGCTAGCACATGGAGCAAGGAAGTTTTCTTTTGACATGAAGTGTGGCCCCTTGGTCTGCTGACTTCAAACACGCCGGTCCACATTCGGAGATGTTTCCTACTAGTGCTTTCTTTCTATCTCCGATCTTAATGATTTTTAACAAATATGTTGATCTGTTATTTCTGAGAACTTTTGTCAGTAAGGTCACGCAGTTGACTGAAGGGATTCCAGCACTCTATTAAAAATCTAGCCGGAGAGATTGTGCTTCTGAAGTGGTTTTTTGGCTCAGATGTGTCTAATCCCAGAAGTGAAAGTAGGACGAGCTCAGAAGCAGCCCTGATGGCTCTCTGCATGCTTTCTGCACCCTTCTCCCGAGGTTTTCCAGAAAAGGAATGGCCTAGTGTTGTGTCATTACCGCTGCGTGAAGGCATTCGCTCGCGCTTGCACTGTGTCCGTTGGCAGGCTCTGGCTGGGCTGGGCCTGCTCCAGCAGCCGTGCCTGGACGACGATGGCTACAGAAACCTAGCATCGCACGAGAACCCGGAAAGCTCTCTATGGGCCAGGTTCTCTCCTCACAGCCCAGATGGCGGGGGCCTTTGGCTCCCCTGAAATGCTGCCCTCCACCCCCTCCTCTGGCCAGCGATGCTCAGGCAACTCCAGCAGAGCCTCCAGAGCTGACCCCGGTGGCTCCCCTCCCCCCCACACTGTCCCCCAGCTCTTCCCTAGGTCTCCACTTTGGCATGTGTACCTCCCCGGGGGCCCATCCATGGTTTCTGCCTGTCCCTGAGGATATAGATCGTCCCTGGGGCTGGTCCTCCACCCTTCCTCTAGTCCTTTTTGAAACATTCTGGAGGCCCTCCAGGGCCTGCATGTGCCCTAGGGTGGACTGTTGCATTTCTCCCATTTCTCAAGCACAGTGACTGATGGGGTCACAGATGGACCTTTGTCACGGCCCCAAGGCACAGCCCCTCCCTCCTGCCTCTCTGCCTGCTTTTCCTTCCCTGTCCCCAGCACAGCTGTTTTGGGCTACCCCATAGAGACAGAACCGCGATTCTTCCAGTACGAAGTCCGCTTTCAGGGCTGAGGGCAGCAGGAGCAGCTGGGGAGGGTGGCTCGGGGTGGCAGACCAGCAGAGAGGAGGTTTGCTGCCTTCATAGTCACACACGTCAGGTAGCCCATGGATGGAGGAGAGGATGGATAGCTCCACAGTCCCTGGAAGAATCAACAACGGGTAATGACAGCAGTCTTGCTTCACACAGCTCTGCCAGGGGACAGAAAGAGCCAGCTCTCTGAGCTCCAGCAGTGAGCACTTGCTAACTTTAGTCTCCTTAATTATATCCTAGAATCTCTTGAAAGAAATGCCACTCTGGTATCTCCAAATTAGGAATTCTGTGATTTTTATCTAAAACACCCTCATGTGTCTGGTCGGGCTGAAGTGATTCTTGGTGCTTTGGGGGCTCATGAAGTGGCTTTAGAGCCAGGGTTCTGGTGGGGGCTCCCGGGAGCTGTGGGCGTGGGGTGGGGACATGGGCTCAGATCCCGGCGTCCGGGCCCCGCGTGACTGCGCACCCACTGTCCCTGCAGGAGACCCTCTGCAGTGCGGAGCCTGGGTTGGGCAGTGTGCTCTTTACATCGTGATCATGATTTTTGAAAAGTCTGTCGTCTTCATCGTCCTCCTCATACTTCAATGGAAAAAGGTTTGCCTCTTGTCCCTTCTTTAGCAGCTCCTTGGGATGTCAAGCAAGACGGGACTTGTCCCCTACCACCCATATGCCCCAACCTTATTAGAAAACCAAATGTGTTCTTTGTTTTCCCTTTTTTTTTTTCCCCACCTCCACGAATGCGGTCTGGATTCCGTGTGCTGTGGCACCCTTTCGGGAGCAGGAAGTCGTTTTTTCACTTAGCATCCATCTATTTGAATCGTGCAAATATCTGCCCTGCATTGAGCTTTGGGACATGTAAAGCCAGTGGAGATGAGTCTCTGCCCTGGGGCAGCTTCCTGGCTGACAGTCTCTAGGCCTCCCGACTGTAACTGTCAGGAGGGTGTTCTCTCCATTTGCATCCTCACACACCTCCCTTGGCCAGTGGTTTAATCAAGCCTTTGGGTGCCGCAGGAGGCACCTGGTCGCACTGGTCACACGCTGTTCCCAGGGTTCCCTCGGCCCTGCCCTCTGGCCCCGGTGCTGTGTAGATAAGCCTCCACTACCCAAGTCCCTCACATGGCCACATGAAACCAGCCAAAGAGCCTTCGAATAGCTCAGAACTTGGCCTTCCTTTGGTTGTTGTTGTTGTTGTTGTTGTTTTAAGATTTTATTGATTTATTTGAGAGAGAACACGAGCACGAGAGGGGGGAGGGGCAGAGGGAGAGGGAGAAGCAGACTCCTTGCTGAGCAGGGAGCCGGAGGAGGGGGCTTGATCCCAGGACCCTGAGATCATGACCTGAGCCGAAGACAGACATTTAACCAACTAAGCCACCCAGGCACCCCTCTTTTGGTTTTATTTGTGTCTGAGTTTTATTTTTCAGGAAAATAAACCAAGGCTTTTCAGAGCTGTTGTCCTTCAGGAGGTGGTTGGGGTGCAGGATTTCTGTTAGGAAGTGGCCTGGCATCCCATTGCTAGTGTCTGTAATGAACATCCACCGACCTCATTCCCTCCAGCTCCCCAAAGCCCCACCACCCCCACCCTCCGTGCCTCCTGGTGTGTGAGCCCTACTCGGCTCAGTGGTTGTAAGCCCACTGTGTTTCCCAAGTCCACAGCACTGGGAAAGCTGCTAAAGCCCTAACTGCTCCAAGTGCTCTCCGGGGGGTCTGTCCCTTGTTAGCAGTCACACCTAGGGACAGACACATGCAGCCCTGGGCGTGAGGCACTGTTCCCATCAGGGTTCTTGGGGGAGTGTCATCTAAGCTAAGCCACGCTGCTCAGGGCCCCATGGGTGATGTGTGACTGTGTTACCCCCCTTTCCCCAGGCGCCTTCTCTGTGGTCTCTCCCTGCCTCACAGAGTCTGCTTCTCTTTACAGGTGGCCCTATTGAATCCCATTGAAAACCCAGACCTGAAACTGGCCATCGTCATGCTGATCGTCCCCTTCTTTGTCAATGTCAGTGCCATGTTGCATTTTACCCCCATGTGCTCTCTGCCTTCCAGTGTCCTGTTCACAGTTCCGAGTCTGACAGACAAAGCCCCTTACAGCCTCCAGGCCCCTCCCCACCCCAGACCTGGAAATGGCAGGATTGCTTCCTCGCCAGGCAGGTCCCTGATCCAGGCTCCCCGTGCAAGAGGGAGGGTCCTGGGAACTTTGTCTTGCCCTCCCTGCCAGGGGACCTCCCGCCCAGGAGGCCCTCCACTTGCACCACGAGCAACTTCTAGATCAGGATATTAGAAATTCACCCCTGTGTTATCCCTGACCCCAGAGCTCCAAGAGAGACTCATGAGCACACTGGCTAGAAGTTAGGAAATAGAAGGAACAATAAAGTTGCCTGGGGCTGACAGTCGTGGCAGAGTGGACGGGCCAGCCTCTCAGCCCAGAAACCTTGCCAGCAGCTAGTCCCCATCAGTTACCAGCACTCAGGGTGAAGAGGGCCAGGGTTGTCTTGCTGGCTGTCTGATAAGAAAGCAGAAGCACAGGCTGTGGAGGGTGGGAATCTCTTTGTACGCTTGTGAGAGAGCTGGGGGACTGGAGGAGGCTTTTCTTCCCCTTGTTCCGGACGGTGTAATCTGGAGCAGGTGGGAGGGAGGGCGATGGGGTCTGCTGTGCTTTGACAGAAGGCTTATCCCAGAGTAACATGCACGTTTCCTCCCCACAGGCTTTGATGTTTTGGGTAGTGGACAATTTCCTCATGAGAAAGGGGAGGACGAAAGCTAAACTAGAAGAAAGGGGAGCCAACCAGGACTCGAGGAACGGGAGCAAGGTCCGCTACCGAAGGGCTGCGTCCCACGAAGAGTCAGAGTCTGAGGTAGGGCCGAGCCCTCATGCCGCGCCCCGTCCCGAGGAGGTCCCTGGCCTCTGTTTGCATCTGGTCTTCCCAGCACTGGCCAGGGGGAGGAAGAAGAGGCTGACAGCCTCCATCCAGCAAGGACCCATTCCTGCGGCCCCTGGCCTTCCCCCGGCAGGGAGGTGGAGCGCCCGATGGGGTGGCGGGAGCTCACCTCCGACAGTCTGGACCTCTGCCAGCGGAGGAAGACAGGGAAGGGAGGGGCTGCCTTGTTCCAGGGAAGCTGGCAAGGACTCTCATGGGCCTGATCGTTGACCTTTAAGCATTAAGATGTTTCAATCCCTGCCCACCACTGCAGAGCAGCAGAGGTGTTGGCTAAGCCCACTAGAAACTTCTAAAACATAGGGGTAGCCAGACCTTCCGGGGAACCTCCCCTCCCCTCACTGTCAGGTTTCCTAGGTTTAAAGGTTTGGACTTCTGGGAGACTGGTGGTCATAAATAGGAGCATGGAGGCAAAGTGATGCTTCTGGGCAGCCTGCACCTCTGCGTGCTGCGGGGTGAGGCCAGGGCTGCCTCCTGAGAGGCCTCGTCAGCTTTCTCAGCGTGCCCAGCTCTGCAGTGAGGGTAGGGCTGCAGAAGTGTCTTCCCCGAGAGACCTTCAGGCTGCATGAGGTGAAGGTGAGTGTCTGAAGAGCTCCTTCTAAGACGATGTGATCCTTCTGACACTGAGGCATTCACAAAGGCCCGTGAGCACCCTGGGAAGGTCTGTTTAACTCCTGGGGGCATCTTGGAGTTTTGAAAGCTGGCTAGAAGAGCAGGGTAGAGGGTAAGCCCGTATTTTCTCTAGGTGTCCCTAGGATCTGGCACGGGGCCTGTCCTGTCGTAAGAGCCTGAGTAACGTTAGATGAATGACAAGCAGCACTACAGGCAGAAGCAACCACTCAGGAGCAGTCGTGGTCACGGGGGGTGGCCTCTGGGTCACACGAAACCCCTTATGGCCAGAGCAGCATGTGTCCCGTAGGGTAGGATGGAATGAGGTGCAGGCGAAGGTCTCAGCCAGATGGGCAAGGCGCTTGGTGATGGGGGCATGCCTGGACGGGCCGTAGGGAGCCAGAGAGAAGGTCTACTCAGGGACTCCCCCCGAGGGAAGTGCTCCAGGGAGAGACGACGCAGCTGTCCTGCCCCGGGAGAGAATGAGCTCATGGTGCCCTGTGTCCCCATGCTTCCCTGGTGCCCAGAGGCCTGAGGAGCCAGGAGGCGGCGTGGCAGGTGGGTAGGAAGGGACTGTTTGCCTGGATGCCCTTGCTCCACGGCGGGGTCATTCCAGACACTCAGGAAAGTGCAGGGCTCGCACTTGTCTGCGCGAGCTGCAGAGTGGGTTCAGTGCACTGAGCGCGGTCGGCCTCGTGTGTGCTCCACAGAGGTTCTCTTTTCCTTTTGAGGGGACTTTTCAGTTTGCTTCTGCTGTCTGTAGGGCACCTTCCAGGACCTGGGACGGCCTGTGTCCAGATTGGGCTTCTTTGCCAGGATGACCTTAGGGTGGGGGTCCTTGCCGAGTTTGCTCTGACCGGGGTTCCGTCCCAGCTGGAGGTTGGCTGCAGAAGCGAGGGGCGGCCATGTCCGCTCGGCGCTGGCTTCAGGAGCCCGTGAATACACTGGGAGTAAGTGACGTCTGCGGTGGTCTCGGGGCTTTCTAGACGGGGTAGCACCCCGGTTGCCGGGGTGCAGGGAGGGCAGAGGAAGAAGGCCCAGCCGGTGGTGACTCAGGCCATGCCTCTCCACCGCCCCAGATCCTGATCTCCGCCGACGACGAGATGGAGGAGTCTGACGTGGAGGAGGACCTGCGCCGACTGACCCCCCTGAAGCCTGCGAAGAAAAAGAAGCACCGCTTCGGGCTGCCTGTCTGACGCGCTCCTGTGCTGGGGTCAGGTGTGGGGGCCCCGCCAGGTCAGCAGGCGGTCGCTCCGCAGTGCCCTTCCTTCCTTCCTCTCTGCCCCGCCTCTTCTACCTCCAGTCCCCTCGCTGTCCCCACCCGCTCCCAGACCGCTGTCACTTACCAGAGGGGGGCCGGGCCAGCGCCGAGGGGCCCCAGGCAGCCGGAGGTCCCCACTCAGTTGCACTACAAACACTGACCAAATATGCAAGCGAGGCGTTTTGTGTGTCTGTCATTGTCCCAGACGGTGTTGCCAGGGACCCCGAAGCCCCGTCCTGTGTCTGGCTGGGTGGCCTTGAGGAGGAAAACTGACACGCACACAGACTGGGTAGAGCCTTTCCCCAAGGCTCTGGGAGCGTGAGGACGTAACACGTTTTGGGCTAAAAGTCACTCATTGACCAAGTTGGAACCGCGATGCTTTCTTACTCCAAATGGCTTTGTAACTACTGATTTCTAAAGCCGGTTTTATGAGCTGTCACAGTGTTAATGTTTTTTGAGTATGTGTTTATTTCCTAAGGGACTAATGAGCAAAACATAGATTTTTAAGTCTTCCGTATGCTGTTGACTTTTATATTTTTAAGTTATATTTTCATACTATTGTATTTAAAAACTTTTTAATCCCCAAAGAAATGGGTTTGTCTGCCTTTCGTGGGATGTGAACTGGCGGGAAGAAGAAGTCGGGAGTTTTTTTATTCGGGATATTTTTAGGTAATCTGCGACGAGATGAGGTGAATGGTCCTGGCAGGAAGGGAGAGGAGCCCTTGTCCGAAAGGGACAAACCCAATGGCTCTGTAAAGGCCGGGCCTGAGCGGGGAGGCAGCTGGTCCGAAGGCCAGTCTGAGGCCAGGGGCACGTGGGTCCAGCTGCTTGGCTTTCTGCTGCCAGTTTAGAGGTCTTAGTTAAACGTGGCCAAGAGCAGAGTCTAGAGGTCTGTGTCTAGAGCAGCTGAAACCATCGAAACCAGCCCTGTGTTCACTGCCTCCAGTGCAAGGTAGAGCCCTTGGAACCAGCTGCTGGACCAGCCCCAGGAACTCCTCTCGGGCCGCCGTCTGTCTGTCGTCTTGGTGTTGTTCCCCTGTTTTGCACAACAGTCTGAGGAGCGCCTGCCCGACCAGGCGATCCTGTTTTTCACGGCCTCAAAGCGGCAGGGCAGCCAGAGACGGAGCAGGGCAGCCAGAGACGGCACGGGTCGAGGTGCGAGAGCTCGCTGTCTGCATCCACGGGCAGGGGAGATGCTTCGAAGCCTGGGTCCCCTCCCTGGGGAGTGGCCCTCACTCCTCAGCATGGCCCCAGGCCCCTGTAGCTTTGGGAGTCTGCTGACCACAGCGGAGTGGGTTGGCCTGAGCACTCGCCCTGCTGTGGGAACAGCATGGTGGGGTGGCCCGTGTTTTGTCGTAGCCCAGAGGCAGCCACAGAAGTTAAGGAACGGAAAACTGCCTGCTCAGGTGCAAGCTAGAAGTGAGACAGGTGCAGGGAGGCCACCTGGCCCAGAACCTTCCTTTTAGACCTACATACAAACGTGCTGCCCTTACGTAGATTGGGTGTGAATTGTGGCCTGGGAGCCAGGCTGTTAAGCTGGGCCTGCCTTCCCTCTCACAATCCGCACCCTTCTGCCCCTGGGAGTCTGGAGCCAGGGGGCTGGAAGGAGCCAGGCCCTGTCGCTGCCCCCGGGTGTCTGCTCTGCGAGCAGGGCTGTCTGCAGCAGGAGGCGAGGCTGCATCCAGAACTGACGTTGTGCCTGCTACATGTCAGCCCCTCGTGGCATTGCTGGCTCTCCAAACTTTTCCCTCCTGTTTCATTTTGTATGAACAGCCTGTGCCTGCCGCTGTTTTCCTGCACCTTCCTGAGCCCAGCATCAGAGCTGTGCTTTCAGTCCTGAGCTCCAGGCGCAGCAGGTGGGCAGCCACGGTCCCTGGAAGGTGGAAAGTCGGGCTTATATAGGCCTCGGACAATCTGCTCATCTCAAGGCCTGGCCCAGTGCCTGCTGGGCAGTGGGTTTGGGGAGCAAAGTGGTGGCTAGTGAGGGGTGGTTTTTCCTTGTATCCTGAATTTCAGTAAGGGCTTTAGTCTCTGAGCCACGGTCGTGGAGCTGGCTGACCAGGGGATGGGTGTGTAATCGCAGAGAGCCTTGTGGTGTGTGGGACTGGACAGCATGGCCTCGCAGGTTTGGCCTTCCCTTCCCTTCGCGTGTGTGTGTGTGTGCACATGCACGGGCATGTGTGCACGTGCTCATGTACACACACACACACACACACACAGTTTGTATTCCCTGAAGTGTTTCCTGCAGTCACCGGGGGTTTTTCTGTGCTGCATTGTCCCAAGAGACCAGATGTAGAGGGCCGTGGTCAGAACCTTCTCCTGAGCTGTCCTCCCTCTCTGAGATGAGTCTCCTTACCACCTGCCCTGAGGTGCCTTACAAGGTACAGCTCTTTACCCGGCCCTATGGCAAGTGTCACAGTGCTTGAGAAACCATGGGACACCAACTGGATATTGTGTGCTATCCATCTGATCTGTGCGATTGTGGACCTAGGCCAAGGCACCCATGATGGAAGCTTGTAAGTCAGGGTCATGAACAAGTTTCTTGTACCTAATGGAAATAACCTGATGAGGTAGAACTCTCGTGTCTGAATGGAAGGAATTATTGTTAGCCTTATTTCCTTTTGCTGTCAGTGGGGTGTTGACAATGGCAAGGGGGGGATGTTGGTGAGATCTCGGGCGGCAGTGGCTTCTTGGTCTGCTCAGAGACCTTCGAGGTAAAGGCCTGTGGCCCATCAGTTAACCCTCAGGCACGCTGGTGGCCTCCTGCCTCAAGCTTTAACTCACGCCCCTTATTGGCAACAGAGAGTCCTAGGCGACTGTTGACTGTCATGCCTTTAAAGGGAAAACCTGTAAAGGCTCAAATCCTAGGCAATCTAGTCCTGTAGCCTGTAGTCCAGAGTCCCCATCGGAAGGCGCCCAGGAGCCCACTCTGCCGTCCAGACAACAACTCACTGGACTTTTTGCCGCCAAGCCAACATAGAAGGCTCTGGGAACTTCTCATTGGCCAAAACAGCCCCCTTATAGGGTGCAGGGCTGGCTTTTAGAAGTTGCACACACTTCCAGCCAGGAGTGGAGAGCTCTCTGTTTCACCCTGTGAAACACTGGCAGCACTGAAGGGCTTTGCTCTGGGTGAGGGACTTCCGGTCCAACAGCCATCAGCACCTTGAGCTCCTGGCTGGGTGGGTGTCATTTGAGTTCTCTTTTCATGATGTTTATTAGAACTCAGAACTGTGTGAGAAAACCATGGCCTATTTCCACTGCCCTTCCGGTGGGGGTGTTTCATCAGTGGTGGTAAGATTCACAGAAAGACATTTTTGAAATGAAAGGGAAGACGATGTACTTACATTGTAAAATGGTTTACAATAAAGTTTCACATCTTAATACAGTTTTTTTTTTTTTTTAAAAAAAGAAACCATCACATGTGGTTGTTGGTTGTGTGTTCTTTAGAGCTAAAACAGCTTAGTGGGGTCAAGCAAATTTCCCCAGCAAGTTACAAGGTTCTCCCCAGGGGCACCTGGGTGGCTCGGTCGGTTAAGCGGCTGCCTTCGGCTCAGGTTGATCCAGGGTCCTGGGATCGAGCCTCCCTGCTCAGCGGAGAGCCTGCTTCTCCCTCCACTCGTGCTCTTGCTCTCCCTATCTCAAATAAATAAATAAAATAAGCTTTAAAAAAAAAAATAAAAAATGACAACGACAACAACTGTTCCCAGGAAACCAAGTGTGAATGAACCTGCATCACCTGGTGACAGACCCAGGAGCCAGAATCTGCCAAAGGAAAAACCCAAGCATACTCTTGCCTTTTCCACTTCCCTGCCTATGCCAGTGAAAGGTACTCCACCTCCCCCTGAGGAGCAAGTGGTGCTGGGGGGAGGAGGTGTGAGCAGTGAGCAGCCCACATCCTTGTCCCTGAGGCCACGGGACTGGAAGGCAGGTGCCTCCGGGGCAGAGCCAGCTGTGGGGACAGTGCCGAAGCGCCCCTCCCAGCCGGGCTTGCGCTCCATGCCCCGTGGCCCTGGCCGTTGGAAGGCATTCCTCATGTCAGCGCTTGTTCCAGATGGAGCCTGGCAGCCCTCACATCGGCCTGCTGGGGCTTGGGGTGGGATTGGAGATATGACATCAGTGGAGTGGCATTCGGGATAACCAAATGTCAGTGCCTGGTGGGGTTCCGTCTGCTTGGAGCCTCCAAAGATAAAAATAATCTCCATCACAAACTGACAAGGAGCTCGGGGGTGGCTGACACCCCCGGCCCCATCCACTACACACTCACGCCAAGTGGAGAGTCCTGCCATGCGCCGCGAGGGTCTCCCCTGAGCCCCACAGCTCAGTGCCTGAAACGGGCTCGGATGTCACCCAGCCTCTTTCAGCAGCCTAAATGCCCTCAGGCCAGGCACCTTTGGGTGACCTCATCCAGTCAGAGGCTCTGTGCCCTTCCCTGCCTGCACTCACCAGTGCCCTTACCAGAAAACGGGTTTCTTCCTGGTCCTTCCTGGGCACTTTTACCCCCTGCCTCTTTGTCCCTTTGCTGAACTTGCCCCGGGAGCCAGACAGAGGACAGGGGCAACAGCAAAGAGACGGAGTGGCTCCCCGGGCTTCCCTCGGCCACAGCTGCTCCCCTGTGAACCGTGGGGGGCTGTGCCATGAGCACATGCTCCCGAGTGTCAGACACGGGAAGCTTCTGCCCTGCTGGGCAGGGATGGAAAGTCTCTTGCCTCTGGAATCCAGGGAGGGGTGGAAGAGAAGGAAAAACAAGCTCAGAAGGGCCCCGCCTGGCGCGCCGCCCCCCCCAGCCGCCGGGGACCCACTGCGTGGGGATGGACCGTCCCGGCGGGCGGCTCAGGCTGCCACACACATGCATCCACACTCCATTGCTCGCCGCCAGGCCCGGCCCCCCCTGCTGGCCTAGAGCAGCTGTTGCTGGGGGCACCGGGCCTCCCCCGTCACCGGCTTTCACCAGGCCACAGCCCCCCAGGCAGCAGTGCTCAGCCAGCCCCTCTCATCTCTAAGAATAAACTCTGAAGCCAGAGACCGTATGGACCTGAATCATCCGGTCGCCCGACGAGGAGGGGAGTGGCTTGCTGGGACAGGCAAGGGGACTATATAAGCCCCAGAGGGCTGGCGCAGCTCTGATCTCTTCCACCGGTTCGTGCGTCTGCCAGAAGAGCGGGGAACCCACCATGTCCCAGGTAGGAGGGCCCGGTGCCGGCTGTGTGGGGGCGGGGGCGGGAACCTGGACACTGTCCTCTCTGACGGTCCTGTCTTGAGCTGAACTCCAGGTGTAAACAGGAGTCTCTGCAGCCCCTGAACGACCAGGGCCCAGGGAGGGCATCCCCCGGCCCGAGCTTGCTGACAAACCCCTATTTATCTTGGGTTTGGTGGTATTCCCTGGTTTGCCCGGAGGGTAGAGATGACATGTAGGATACTTCGAGTCTCTGCGTATGCTTTTGTGCGCAAGGAAGCTGACTGTATGACTCGTGTGTGTGTGTGTGTGTGTGTGTACTTACATACTCCTGAGGCTGGACCTGTAGGTACACGGTTCTGCCTGGGCATCGCCCCAGCAGGACAGATCTCTGTGCAAGGGCTGCAGCCTGTTGCCCCAGGAACCCAGCCCAGGCTCGGGGACCAGGGAGTCCCTGCACCTGTCCCCAGGGCTTAGGAAGGAGTGAGGCCTCAGACTCGTGGGCGCTTGGGGCTGCCAGGATAAGCAGGGAGTCTGAATATCCCTAGTACTGGAGGAACAGACAGAGGAGCAGGCTAAGTGGAGACCTCTCCTTGCTGCCTGCTCTGTGGGTGGGTGCTCAACCTCAGACTGACTTCATGGGTATCTGCTTCTACTACCCAAAACACACAAGGTAAATGCGGGCAGTTGGGGAGAGAGAATGGCAGGCTCTAAGGGACCTGTTGCCACCCAGTGAGCAGGTCGTGGAATTCACCCCTTGAAATCCACCTCAAAACCAGTCCCTTTCCCCTTTGCCCTTTGTGCCCAGGCCTGAGCCTGGCCAGGCAGACAGTATGAGGCCAGTCCCCGAGCTCCCAGGCTGTGGGAGAAGGACAGAGAGACTTGGGGGTGGGTGGTGGAGTACAGCTGGGAAGGCTTCCTGGAGGAGGAGTGGCGCCTTCAATTGGCTTGAGCTCAGTGACCAGTGAAGAGGGATCTCAGGGCCGAGGCACAGAGGTGGGAAGGGGCTTTCGGCCTCAAGGCCTGGGGTTGTAAGAGGCTCTGGGCTCTTCAAGGCTGGTGCTCAGGAGGCGCCCATCAAGAAGAAGCGCCCCCCAGTGAAGGAGGAAGATCTGAAGGGGGCCCGTGGAAACCTAGCCAAGAACCAGGAGATCAAGTCCAAGACCTATCAGGTCATGCGGGAGTGTGGTGAGTATCTTCCCGGGCAGTGGGGGTGGAGGGCATAGATGGCTGTCAATGTGGGGGGGTGGGGGTGGGACGGGGTGAGGGGTCCCAGGGTCATTTCCTGAGAGTCCAGAGCTCTTGAGCTCAGGGGGACACCCCCCATGAATGCCCCTCCGCCACCTCCCCATCTTCCCCACAGAACGAGCCGGCTCCACCGCCCCGTCCGTGTTCAGCGGCAACCGGACCGGCACTGAGACCGTCTTCGAGAAGCCCAAAGCCGGACCTGCCAAGAGCATCTTTGGCTGAGACGTGCACCCCATTCCCCTTGCCGCTGCCAACTCCCAGACGCAGGAGCCTTCCCCCAAAACTTTTTTATGCCAGAATGCACCCTCTCACCTGCTGCCCGTGGGACAGCCACCCGCCCCTCACAGCCCTGGCCCCTCGGCTCAGGGACTCTGCACCAGCACCCGGGGAACACCAATAAAGAGCATGCCCACGTGGCCCCAGCATGTGGAGCCTGTTAGTTGGTCACCGGCCATGGCCACTAAGTGTAGGGGAGGGGCAGGCAGGTTAGGGTGTGAGGCATGTTCCACACCCTTCGTGGGCTTTTGGGAGGTCCCAGAGGGTAAGGCAGGTGCTATTATGGCTACTGCCACGTGCGAGAAAGAGCCTTGGACGTGGAGACCTGGTGCTGAGCTCCTGTGTGACTTCAAACCAGTCTCTCCCTTTCTGAGCCTCGGTTTCCCCTCCTGTCTGACAAGGGCCACAGGAACACGGCTCAGGGTGAAGCAGGTGGGGACCCGAGGCTCACCCCTCTGCCTGCCTTCGGCAGAAACCATCAAGATGCTTCCAAGGACTCCAAGGCCCTGCCAGACCAGGGACCTCCAAGCCCCTTCCCCCTGCACCCCTGTTTGCACTACCTCCTTGCCAGCTCATACCCCTCAAAGACAAAGCCAGATCGAGGCCCCTCTCTGGCCAGTGGTAGGCCGCCTCCTGAGCTGTTGACCCACAGCCAGGGTGAGCCTCCCCCTTGCCACTCGCACAGCTCTCCCTGCATCATGGGAACTCCAGGCCCTTGGCTCACAAGGCCTCAGTGTCCCCTGTGTGCATGGAGCTGTCAGATCTGGGCCTGCGGAGGCCCATCCCCCTGTGACGGCAAAACCACGGGCAGAGTCCCAGGCTGGACCAGCAGGGCTGGGCCTTGCGGCACCCGACTCAGGGCTGCTGTTGGCAGGGAAGCTGGCCGGTCCCCTGGGCAGGTGGGGCTGGCTGCTTCGAGCCTTTCCCACGTTCTCAGCCAGCCCGACCTCCTTATATAGCTGCTTCTAGGCTGGGCCTGTGCTCTGTGCCCCCAAGGAGCAGACCTCCGGTGGGACGGGGCCTGGGCCTGCCCACTGTGCTCCCCGAGGAGGCTCTTTTCAGATTGCCGAAGGGGTGTGAAGCCCCATGTGATCCCAACCTTATTCAGAGCCAAAGGGCAAGCAGTATAGACGTGCATAGAGATGCTCCTGGCTGCAGGTGTGCTAAGGCAGGGGAACATTTACTCGCAGCCAGAGACACAGCACCCGAGTCTCTGCTGCCCTTTCCCCCGGGCTGGATGCTGCTGGCCTTGATGGAGGAGACCCCCGGCGGCCAGTCACTGCCTCAGATCCTTGTGTGGGCCCCCAACATGGCTGCTCCCCACCCCAACCAGTGTCACCAAGCCATCCTCCTTCCTCGACCCAGGGTTTGGCACCTGGCCACACTGCTGAAGCAACTCGACCTTATCCGTGGCCAGACCCAGGAGCTGGGCTTTCCCAGAACCGCCAGGGACACAAGCACCAGTTTCGTCCAGATCCCTCAGTATTTATTCACTTCGTTGCTGTTTGTTACAAAGGCATTTCAAGTTTATTAAAGGATAATTGAGAACTCAAGTTACCGGGAATCCTAGCCCAGGCCGTCCGGTGCACTCCCCCTGGTCTGGCTCCGGACAGTGGCACCGCCTTGGCGTGCTGCTGCCTCCACATTCTCACGCTGGCCGTGACTCACGGGCTCCCTCGGCATGACTGACCCCTGTGGGCCGCCGAGTGCACACACCACCACACCGTTCGTTCCATGCTTTCCTCTCAATAAATTCCCTGGAGGGAGACCTCTGGGCCTCAAGGTGTGGGCATCTTTATGGCTCTCGGTTGGAATTGCCAAAGTGCGGGTCTCGTTCTGGGGGCCTTGCTGGAGCTGAACCAAGAGCCCTAGCTAGATTGATGGGGCCCGACAGCAGCCTGGGACCCAAAGGCAGAGAAGAGGACTCCTGGGCCCAGTCCCTGTCACCCCAGAAACAAGGGTTCTCCATCCTGCCCCGACCCCAGCAGATCTTGCCCCAGTCAGACACCCCAGTGGCTGCTCAGTTCAGGCTCCCACTGCCCCCTCCCGGAAGCCACTCCCTAGCCCCCTTGGTCTGGGCTATCCCTGTTTCTCCCAGGCTGGGCTTAACGGAGAGCAGGCTGGTTCACTGTTGTGTCTCCCAGACCTAGGGAGCCCGCCAGTGGAGGGGCTGGTGCGAGGGGTTGGTAGCGGCCTGGGATGATTCTGGACTTTTCAGAGGGAGTGCCATACCCACTTCCCACCTGAGCCCGCCTCTCCTCACTACGTGTTCCTATCCCCAGCCAAGGTCCACGGGACAGTCACGGTTTGCTTAGCTGAGGCTACTGCAGTTTTTGGCTTGGAGATCCCAACTTCCCAGAAGCCGCCCCCGGAGGGGCGGGACCGCGAGCATGTTACTAATTCATTCCCCACATCCTCCCAAGTTCAGAAGCAACCTGCCAGGCACTGGAGCCCAAATGAAGGCTTCGGCCCCTGGCTGCCCCTGTGGCCTCGCGCCGGTGCTCTTCTTGCTGCTGGCTGCGCCCCCGACAGCGGCCACCCAGAAGGTAAGGGGTGTCCGCAGGTGCCCGAGCGGGGGTGGCGCGAGCCGATTGACGAGAGCGTGTGTGTGTGCGAGCACGTGCGGCCGGACGAGCGTGGCCCAGTGCGTGCGCGAAGACGGGGTGCCAACTGGCAGCCAGGCACTAGCCTGGGCGCTGTCTGGATGCTCTCCCATTTAACAGAAGGGAGACCCCGCTCCTGCTTTACGGGGAGGCGATGCGGCCCAGCGAGCTGCCGCTAGGGGCCAGCAGGGGGTGGGCTGGGCAAGAATGGGCTTCAGGAGCCCGCCTCTCCCTCTCCCTGGCTGAGTGGCTGCGCAAGAGTTATTTATGCTTTTCGTGTCTGTTTCCTCATCTGTAAAACGGCAAAAAGAAATGCTATTCAGAGCTTTGTCGTGAAGATCAAACCTGTAAAGATCTAGAAAGAACTTCGTCCAATGTCTGCCACCGAGCAGACACTCCATGAGCCACCCGGCCTCGGTGCTCAGCCGCGCGTGCTCCTGAACATGCCATGTGCCGAGAGCAGGTGTGCAAGGCTGCAGGCGTGCACACGTCCTTCCTGGGGAACCGCAGACCTGGAGGAGAAGAGCGTTTACCTGGGGAGGGTCCAGGGCTGCAGGGTCAAGGGGGGCAAAGAGGAAGGCTCCCAGTAATTAGAGACTGGGCCCCCCATCTCCTCCACGTTCTCCCAGCTCCCGTAAGCACCTGGTGGGAGAGAGGCAAGAGCTGCTTTTCCCAGTCTCCATGGAGGCCGAGGGGCACCAGAAATCGCAGAACTTGTTCACTACCCTTTCACCAGGCAGAGCTAGGATCAAATGTGAAGCGGCCTGACCCCGCTAGGGCCCCCCGCCCGAGGAGAAAGTGACAGTCACCTCCCGGAACACACTGAAGGGTGGGGGACGAAGCACGCAGCTCCCTCTGCTGTGAGACCAGTGTTCACATGTGAAATGCCTCATGGGGTTCGGCCGGGGGCTTGGTCAGTGGTTCAGTCGGTGTCGGGGACCAAGGGCAGGGCCCCCTCTTAAAGAGTGCTGTCTCAAGCTAGGGTGGCATTCAAACAGTCCCACCCCTCCCCCTTCACTGGTCCAGAATGGCATCAACATCTACAGCCTCACCGTGGACTCCAAGGTCTCGTCCAGATTTGCCCACACAGTCGTCACCAGCAGGGTGGTCAACAGGGCCAATATTATGCAGGAGGCTACCTTCCAGGTGGAGCTGCCCAAGAGAGCCTTCATCACCAACTTCTCCATGTAGGTGCCTTCCTGCCCTCTTCCCCGACCTTCCTCAACCCGGCACCATGACACCATCTGCCCTGGTGACACCCTGTCGGGAAGAGCGACCCTCTTCCTGATGTGAGGTGAGCCAGGATGGATGCCTTAGGCGTGTGTGCTCTGCCTGTAGGCAATATAAGGAACCAGAGGCTTTACCCATGAACTTCATGCGTTCTCAGAGACGTTCCATCCCTCCATCCTCCACCCATCCATCCCTCCGGCCGGCCATCCCTGCCTCCCTTCCTCTCTCCCTTCATCCTTACTTCCATCTCTCCCTCCCTCCCTCCCTCCACCCACCCTTCCATGCACCCCTCCCGCCATCCACCATCCACCAACCCGCCCAGTTCACAGATGGAGAACCACAGCGTCTTGGTGTCTGTTCCTCCGAAGAGTAGAGTTGGGGCATCCTGAGGCCAGGCCCAGGCAGGAGGGAGTCACAAAAGGCAGAGTCCAGCTCAGAATACAGATGACTTCCTAACTCCTGGGCTGCCCCACAGTGGAGCAATGCCTGGAGGAGGGCCATCTCTGTCACAGGAAGTTCTAAGCCAGCTCGTCCCCTCCCTCCCACTTGGGACACAGCAGAGGGCCTTTCTGCTCTGGGCCCGAGGCCGCACGGGGAGGCCCCTGGGATTTCTGTGGACTCTGTGGCTCCAGGCTGCTCCTCACCTTGTCCTCTGCTGTCCTCCCCCACCCTTCCCAACTCTTTTGCAATGTTTGCTAAACGCCTGAGAACCCTCCCCGTCCGCACCTGGCCCCACGAGAGAGGCAGTGATTGAGGGCAGGCCAGAGAGACGCTGATCCCAGCAACTGAGGGAGGGCAATGGATGGGGCCCAGAGCAAGCTTCTCTCGGCCGGGGTCCCCAAACTACCCTGAGACCTCTGAAATAACTGCAGTGGGGCCTGGGTCCCTGTGGTCGGCTTCTTCCTCGCTCCCTGCCACCCCCGTCAGCAGCCCCCTGCTTCTCCTAATCCTGGAGCCAGGCCTGTGCTGCCCAACTTGCAGTCTGAGCACTGCAGGGTACCCCCAGCCTCCGACAGGGGGCCAAGACCAGAAGGCGGCCAGCTTCTGGACACATGGCATGTGCTGAGAGCACAGGGCCTGCACTCCTCTCTGGGTCCAGATGGTGTTGCTGCAGGAGATGGGGAAGCAGGGGGCAGGGTGCCCTGCTCTCTGGCCTGACGGGGAGCCTCAGCTGGGCATCTGGGAGGACGAGCCCTATGGCCCACTCAGCAGCTGCATCCCTCGCCCAGAGTTAAATGGTGACCGGGAAGGTCAGGAAGGTGGGACACTGGGTCCTAATGCCCTAGCTACACCCTCCCCGCCCACCCCTGCCCACTCTCACCCTTTCAGGCCCCCCAGGTGGACCAAGCGTAGGTTCGCTGACACGTCCCTGCTCACCTCACAAGGAGGGTCTGGAGCAGGTCTTCTCCTTCCAGAGGAAAAGCCCTGGCAGTTCCTTCTAGTCCCAAAGAAGAGCCATTAGGATTGTGGCCACACCCCTGGGGCTCCCGTGCACCAGTTGTCCAAAACCTACTTCCCCAGAGGCCCCCCTCTGTGCAGAGGGCCCTGCCGTGTGCTGGCAGGAAGAGGGGACAGCTGCAGGGAGAGGGGTCAGAGCCTCTCAGGCCTGCGTTTCCCACTGGCCTGGGAGCCCAGCACCCCGCTCCTCCTCCGGCTGCCCACACACCTGCACACAAGGGTGGGCACACGTGCACCCCGGAAAGTGCTTGCTGGTGACTGACCAGTTCCTCTGGGGGCAGGCTGTGAGGTAGACCGGGCAAGCCGGGATGCGGGGCCAGACTGCAAGGGTGGAGGCCAGGCTTTACCTCAGCCCTGCCTCCCCCGCGACCTTCCTCCCCGGGCTGTTCAGTAAATGCATGTTTACCAACACTGTGCGTTGCCGCAGGGTAGACAGAAGCCTAGCATAGCTCGCAGAGGCCCACCACCCTCAACCGGGGCCCTGCCCAGAGTCTTGTATACAGTAAGTACATAATAAGTGAGTAGGCTGGGCGCCTGGGTGGCTCAGTTGGTTAAGTGTCTGCCTTTGGCTCAGGTCATGATCCCAGGGTCCTGGAATCGAGCCCCGCGTCGGGCTCCCTGCTCAGCAGGGCGTTTGCTTCTACCTCCGCCTGCCGTTCCCCCTGCTTCTGCTCTCTTTCTCTCTCTGACAATTAAATAAATAAAATCTTTAAAAAATAAGAAGAAGAGAGAAAGAAAGAAATGGGCGGGCTCAGGCAAAGACAGGAGTCGATCTGTGAAGAGGCACACCAAGTTCAGGGAGGCTCCCTGGAGGAGGTGGGACTGGAGTGGGCAGCTCCTCTCAGGCCCTCCACAACACCTGCCGTCCTGCCCCAGGGTCATCGGAGGTGTGACCTACCCAGGGAACATCAAGGAGAAGGCTGCAGCCCAGGAACAGTACAGCGCAGCTGTGGCCAGGGGCGAGAGCGCTGGCCTCGTCAAGTGAGCCAAAGAGGGTGGTGGGAGGGACCCGGGGGGGGGGGGGGGGTGGAGGCTGCCCCTGCCTTCAGCCCTGCAGACCCCTCCAGCCTCCAGTGGCCATACCCTGCCTGGCCTGGAGGGGCAGACCTGCTGCTCTCCTCCCCCAGGGCCAGCGGAAGAAAGACGGAGCAGTTCCAGGTGTCGGTCAGTGTGGCTCCCGCTGCCAAGGTCACCTTCGAGCTGGTGTATGAGGAGCTGCTCAAGCGGCATCTGGGAGCATATGAGCTGCTGCTTAAAGTCCAACCCCAGCAGCTGGTCAAGCACCTGCAGGTACCGGCACTGCCTGCTCCCCGGTGTGGGTGGGGGGTGCTCCAGGGAGACACCTGCTCTGCTGAGGGCAGCCCCTCCTTCCCGCTCTGCCTCTTGTGAGGCCCAGCCCCAACTCTGGGCGACCGAGTGACCCACTCCTTGCCTCCAGATGGACATTCACATCTTTGAGCCTCAGGGCATCAACTTTCTGGAGACAGAGAGCACCTTCATGACCAACGAACTGGCAGACGCCCTCACCGTCTCGCAGAACAAGACCAAGGTGGGCCTGCCTCGGTCGGCGGGCAAGCGTCCCCAGGGGCCTGTTGTCAGGCCAGCCGTATGAGTCTATCCAGAGAGTGGGACAAATGGGCAGACTCTGAGCCGGAGGGACTTCGGAGGTCTGTGTTCATGCTGCCGCTTGGCTGAGGTGGAGGGCAAGGCCTAGAGAAGTCTGCTGGGTGCTGGTGTGAAGCCTGAGATGGGGAGAAGGCCATGGGGAGGAGCTGGGGTGAGGGACCCACAGCGGGGAGGGGTCACCAGCTGGATCCTGCGCAAACTGAGCCCAGCCTCTGCTCACACAGCTCCCACTCCCCTGTATGGAGGCAGTCTCTCCAACAGCTTGGCCTCAGAGAATGTTCCCTGGACTGTGGCCCAAGGCTGCATCCTGGAATTCTTGCTTCAGAGGGGGTGGGGGTGGCCACGGGGCTCCTACCAACTCCAGGCTGTCCTTCCCCAGGCTCACATCCAATTCAAGCCCACGCTCTCCCAGCAAAAGTCACCAGGGCAGGAGGACACAGTCCTGGATGGCAACTTCATCGTCCGCTACGATGTGCACCGGACCGTCTCCGGGGGCTCCATTCAGGTGTGTGGGCTCTCAGGCGAGAGTAGGGCAACCAGAAAAGGGCCCGAGCTTGTATGTTCTAGAAGGAAATGCAAAATAACTGCCCCTACTTATCAGGGTGAACCAGTGGCAGCACAGACCGAAAACAAATAATTTTGTTATGTTGTCCCTGAAACAATTTTCTCTTGGAGGCACAGAAGTTTCACCTCTGCTAAAGAGATGCCCTGTAGGATTTCCTTTATTGCCTTGGCTGCCAGGAGGCTCACAGTTCAGTTTTATGCTCAATGGCAGTAGCTTCTTTCACACAAGTTCCTGGCATCATTGTGCTTTCCCTTTTGACCTCTGATGGACCTTGTTTTTAAAGTCTTTAGTCTTTTGATGGATTTCAGGCTTAGAATGTCTGAACTTCTTGTGATAAGTTGCCTCAAATACTAAAACAAATAGGAGATAAAGTGGGGGTAGAGTTCTAGTGGACCATGTGTGAGCAGGGAAGGCAAGAGAGGGGCTGGACTGAGCCGTCAAAGACGGTGAAGATTTGGGAGGTCAGCAGTGGAACAGAGACAGAGGGGGCTGTGTGAAGAGAGGAACCCAAGGATTAGGGTGAGAAGGCTGGTCGAGGGCAGGGCAGGGCTGCAGCTCTTATTACCTGGGTTTGTTTCACTCTGATCACAGATCGAGAGTGGCTACTTTGTGCACTACTTTGCCCCTGAAGGCCTGCCCACTATACCCAAGAATGTGATCTTTGTCATTGACAAAAGCGGCTCCATGAGAGGCAGGAAGATCCAGCAGGTGGGTCCCTCTGGCTAAGGGCACAGCCCTGGAATCTCACACATGCCTAACGCCATTGGCCCTGGTCTAGGAGGCATTCTCCCCCCTCCATCTTCCTGGGTAAGGGGTACCCAGGGGTTGAGATTGGCCAGAGTGTGGGCAGTGCCTGCCCCGAGAGCATTGACCATGGGAGCCTGCAGATGCCAGCCCAAGTACACATGAGCCCCAGGGAGGCCCCACTCAGACACCCGCCTGAGTCTCCCACCCTCCTGCCCAGACCCGGGAAGCCTTAATCAAGATCCTGGATGACCTCAGCCCCAACGACCAGTTCAATCTTGTCAGCTTCAGCGGGGAGGCGGCCCAGTGGAAGCCCTTGCTGGTGCCGGCCTCAGCCGAGAACGTGAACCAGGCCAGGAGCTATGCTGCCAGCATCCAGACCCAAGGAGGTGAGCGCCTCTGGGGCCCTGCAGCGTGGGGGCTTCTGGTGCAGCGAGCCCAGCCTGGGCAGCCGGGCTGGAAGCCACCACCCTGAGAGTACGTTCCCCCCAGGGACCAACATCAACGACGCGATGCTGATGGCCGTGCAGCTGCTGGACAGTGCCAACCAGAAGGAGCTGCTTCCAGAGGGGAGCGTCTCCCTCATTATCCTGCTCACCGACGGCGACCCCACCGTGGGTGAGGGCACCGCCAGCCACTCCGGGACACGCTGCCCTGGAGGGGGCGCAGCTGGGGTTCTCCCTGGCTTGCCGTGGGACCCGAGGCTGGGGTGGGGGGCGTATCTGAGGCCCCTCTGGCTCTGAGATTCCAGAGGTATCTTTGAACAAATCACTTTCTTCACTCCCCCTTCCCACACTGCTGGGTCCAGGGGAGACCAACCCTGCAAGGATCCAGAAGAACGTGAAGGAAGCTATAGATGGCCAGTACAGCCTCTTCTGCCTGGGCTTTGGCTTCGACGTCAGCTTTGCCTTCCTAGAGAAGCTGGCGCTAGACAACGGCGGCCTGACTCGGCGCATCTATGAGGACTCGGACTCCACCCTGCAGCTGCAGGTGCCAGAGGGTCCCGGGTGGGCCGCCTGGGTGAGGTGGGCGGGGCCCGGCCCGGCACTCGTGACACCCCCCCACCTTGCAGGACTTCTACCAGGAAGTGGCCAACCCACTGCTGACAGCAGTGACCTTTGAGTACCCCGGCAACGCGGTGGAGAAGGTCTCACGGGACAACTTCCGGCTGCTCTTCAAAGGCTCTGAGATCGTCGTGGCCGGGAAGCTCCGGGACCAGAGCCCCGATGTGCTCTCAGCCAAAGTCAGGGGGCAGCTGGTGAGTGTGGCCAGCCCCTCTGCAGGGGAGGGGCAGCCGGGGCGGGCAGTCAGGAGGGACTGGGTTCAAATGCCAACCTGGCAGGGCTCCAGCGACTGACCTTGCACAAGTCACACCGTGCCCTCTGCCACTTAGAGATGACGCTTAGCAGTCCGTCTGTGCTGCTGCTGGTCCTGAGAGCACCAGGTACTTGGCATGCCCTCCTGGCCTCACACCGGCCCTCGGAGGCTGTGGTCGGCCAGGGGGACTGCTCCCCTTTCGCAGATGGGCAGGCTGAGGTCCAGGCAGGGCAGGCAACTTGCCCCGGGCCCCAAAGCAGCCAGGTCAAGAGCCCGGCTCCCCTCGTGACGCCCTGTCGCTGCCTCTGTGCCACGGGAGGCCCTCTCACTCCACGGAGAGAAACAGCACCTGCTCTGCTGTAGATCCTTCTCTAGGCCCTGGGGATACTGTCCTCTCGGGAGAGACAATGCGGGTAAATCATCACACAACCAGGGAGCTGCAGGCTGGGTTCGAACCAAAGTCCTACCTATGGCCTCTCCCCAGAAGGCCTGGAGAAGGAAGCAGCAGTCCACCCAGAGCTTGGTACCCACCTTACTGCCACCATCCCGCTGCACCCAGCCCCAGCAGAGGGCACCAGCTTGGGCAGGGGACTGCTGGTTGGGGCGGATGGGGCCCCAAGCCCTATCAGGGCCATGACACCTGAGTTCTCTTCTCAGCTCTGCCACTGGCTTCTGGAGAAGGCTCTTCCCTCTTTGTTCCCAGAGTCTCCATCTTTGGGATGAGTGTGGAATGCCTCTGGGGCCCCTTTCTGCCCCTACACTGCACTTGCCCTTCCTTCCCGCTGCTGTTTCTACCCTGGCCAGGGGTTCGGATCCCATTCTCATTTCCCTTTCTCTGGAAGGGTCGGTCTGACCTGAGTTCCCGGCTCTGTGCCTGCCATGTTGGCCTTGGAGGGGCCCTCACTGCCCCTGCCCGGGCTGGGCCCCTCTTTCCAGCACATGCAGAGCATCACCTTCCAAACGGAGTCCAGCGTGGCGGAGCAGGAGAAGGAGTTCCAGAGCCCCAAGTACATCTTCCACAGCTTCATGGAGAGACTCTGGGCATACTTAACCATCCAGCAACTGCTGGAGCAAATGTGGGTGGCCCACACCCTCGAGGGCCCACTGGGGCAGCCACACACAGCCCAAGCACCTTCCCAAGCTTTCCCTGGGGCGGGGGGCAGGTGCAGCTGGCCCGGGGTATCTCCCGGGCATAGAGAGAGAGGCTAGTGCAATCGTGGGTGAGCTCCAGACTCTCCCAGTGGGAACCTCCCAGAAGGGTCTGGAAGGGAGGGAGAATCTGACTAAGCATCTGGGGAGGGCCCGCTGAGCCTCTGATATCCCCCACCTGCAGGGTTTCGGCATCCGATGCTGAGAAGCAGGCCCTCGAGACCCGAGCTCTGAACTTGTCGCTCCAGTATTGCTTTGTCACTCCCCTCACGTCCATGGTGGTCACCAAACCTGAAGGCAAAGAATGGTCTGAAGTTGCTGAGAAGCCTGTGGAAACCAGTAGGTGTGAGAGTAGGACCCCAGCCTCCTCGGCAGCACAGTTTTGACCTAGCGTCCTCCAGAGCCTTTCCCGTGTCCCCACCAAGTCCCCGACCCAGCCATCCCTAGTTTCCCAGGATCCCCCGGACACTCAGCCCATCTCATTGATGAGGAAGCTGAGGCCAGGTCTCCTGACCCCAGAGTTCACCGCACTTAGTCAGTGCTGGGGTTGGGAAGCAAGGTTAAACAGAAGCACTTTGAACTTGTGGAAACCACTCTAACAGTGTATTTCCTTTTCTCTCTTTTTGTTTTATCCAGAAAACAAACACAGGAACTTCTACTTAGGTAAGGGCCTAATTCCTTCAAAGGCTGGGCCGGGGGACGGTTGGCTGACACAGGGCTTAAGGCCCCAGCCCCGCGAGGTTGCTGCTACTCAGACCCCGTCCTGGGCACTTAGGGACACAATCCCTGGTCAGCTGGGGACCCCAAAAAAGTATATCCCAGAAGCTAATCCAGGTCCCTCTGATTTCCAGGTGGTCCACTGTCTAGATTTCGTACCGCTGGAGACAGAAGGTCCAGAATAACAGGTGGCAAAGGAGGGAGGGGGAGGGTGGGGGAGAGTGACCAGGACCTTCACCCCAGACACAGACTAGGCTCTGCCCTGGTTGTTGCGGGAATGACTTGCCCGGCTCACCTGGCTGGTTGGCAGGGCGGGGACTCAGGTCCAGTTATATCTGATTAGGAGGCATCTATACAGACTCTGTCCTCACCCAAAGACGAGGCTGTAGAGGACAAGGTAGTCTGAGTCAGGGGCAGGGGCGGGGGGCTCATATCCCAGGGACGGGGCTGAGGGGCTCAAGAAGGGTCCATCGCTCCCACGCTGAACTTCTCCCGGCCATGGAGGGACAGGCTCCCAGAGTGACGAGCGTAGGGAGGGGAGTCATCTGCCCTCTCCACATCCCTCTCCTGACCTGGGTCCCAGAGCCTCGGCCATGGGGCGCCATGACGCTGCTTGAGAGAAGGCTGCATGTGTCAACTTTTCCAAAGCTGGACCCTCTGGGAAGACACCTAGTGACTTATGGAGAGCCGGACCACAAGGACCTCTTAATTCTCCTCATCCTTACCCACTTATGGCTGGAAAATCACTGCTACCGGACATGTTGTTAGGTAAGCCACTTTCTGACCCTCTGAGGGTCTAATTTTCTCAAGATGATCATTAAACATGGCCCTAGAGTTAGTGAGGTAAAGCACAAAGCACAGGGCTGGGCACAAACCAGGGAGAGTTGCTGTGGGGCATGACATGATGTAATGTGTCCTTTATTTTCACTGAATTGGATTCATTACACTCTGGAGGCTGGCTCAGGATGGAACCTTCTAGAAAGGGATGTCTTCCTCCATTTCCAAAGCCAGCAGTGGACCCTTGAGCTGTTTCTGATCTCCAGGTCTGGACTCAGAAACAGCACAGAGCCAGGCTAGACCCTGTGTCCTCTCCATTTTCCCTACTAGCACGCTCTCCTGTTTGGAAATCTCATGACAAAGGCTCTCCTAAGTTGGGTGTGGGTGTGGCCGGGGTTGCGGGGCTGGGTGGGGGGGCCGGGGGCGCTGATGATAGCTGGAGGGCGTGCTGATTGCTCTCAGTCCTGACTGCCCTCTTCCTTTCTGTTTCTGGCCCTGCACCAATGCCTGCTTCGGCACCATCAGCCCCCTCCATTCCTGACGAAGTGTTTCGTGGTGTGGATTTAAGAGCCAAAGATGCCCCCCAGGCCAGAGTCCCTGCAGTAGCTTCAGACCCTATAACAGGGAGAATCTGGGAGAGGAAAGCCTCGGGGAGCTCTACAGACTTGTCACGTGGGTTTCCCATTGAGGTCGAGAGGGAGCCCTAACCGCACATCCATGTCTCTGTCTCTCACTGGCCCCCACCCCGCTCCTTGGGAAGGGGCTCCTAAACCCGGACTTTTTCTTCTTTCAGAATCAGCCAAGACAGCCTCACCCCCAGGTCTGTTGCCAGCCTCCCTTAGGCCTGGTCCCCGCCTTGTCCTTGTCTCCCAGCCTGCTCTGCCTACCCTGGGAACCACAGCTGCTGTCCCAGCCCCCATCCAGGCACCTGCCGTCATCCTGATGCTGCCCGGACAGAGCGTGGACCGCCTCTGTGTGGACATCAAGCACTCTCAGGGGCCGATGAACCTGCTCTCAGACCCTGACCAAGGTGAGAGGTGCACATCCAGTCATCCACCCAGAGAGACCCAGACACCACTGACTCCCGACTTACTACCCCAGAGACAACGATGAGACACCTGCCCGTGGAGACACACCTTGCCCCATGCAGGCGCATCCCAGATCCCGGCATGGCCACGTCCCTGAGCACCACATATGCAGGTTGGGGTGGCCTGGGCACTCCAGGGTGACCAGACGTGGACTTGCTCCCAGGCACTGCCATACTCCCGGGGTGGGGAGACAGACTTGGGCACAGACGAGCTCAGTGGCCTATAGTCAGTGCCCAGAGTGACATGGAAGCAAACCCAGAGGAGGAGACAAGAGCTGTCCGGGGAGCAGGGGTGGCTGCGCAGGGTCATAGAGGAGTGACGAGGCCTTGGCAGACAAGTAGGGGTCCACTGGGCGGAGGAAGGGGCAGGCAGAAGCAGAGCCCTGGAAGGTGCTGGTGGGACTGTGGAGGGTGTGGAGGCGGTGAATGGTGGGAGGAGGTAGGTGTGTGCTGGCCAGGCCTGCACCCCCAACCCCCAGAACGGTCTTACTGGTTGAACTGAGTGTCGGGTCAGATGCAAGGAGGCGCAGCACTCAGGGATGCTCACGCTCGCCTGCAGAGCCGGCCAGAGTCAATGAGAATGTACAGCTCCCTCGTTCCTCCCAGGTCCACGCAGTCTGCCACTCATCCCGCCAGGCCTGTGGTCTGTTTGCTCACAGAGGAGGGGGGACACCACCCCTCTTCCATCTTGCCCTTGGCCATGGGACCTCATCGGGCCAGGCACGCCACAGGAGCTTTATGAACGTTTGTCGATTTCCAACACGATCTCCCTTCTCAGGGGGCTCGTCTGAAGGTGGCCATCACTGAGGATTCGGGGGTCATTCCACAGGCATCTGAAACCAGGGGATGAGGGGAGAGACCGTAGGAACCAGCCCCCAGTGTGAGGGAGTGTTTGGTAAAGGGAGCCGGGGAGGTCAGCTGGTGAGAAGGGGTCTGGGTGGACCGTTCCTGGCCACACTGACAGCGTTGCCCCCCACGGCAGGGGCCGTTCAGGCCAGCGCCCAGCTGGGGCCATGGTCTTGACCTCTCTGCCCCCGACCCTCTCAGGGGTTGAGGTGACTGCCCAGTACGAGACAGAGAAGGCCCAGTTCTCGTGGATTGAGGTGACCTTCAAGAACCCCCAGCTGCAGGTCCGTGCCATCCCTGAGCATGTGGTAGTGACCCGGAACCGAAGAAACTCTGGCTACAAGTGGAAGGAGACGCTGTTCTCGGTGATACCTGGGTATGCCCCGGCCTGGGTCCCGTTGGGTTCCCCCCCCCCCCC